AATTCTATTAATGTTTAATTGTTTTTCACTGATTCCACCCGCCCCCCATGCATTTAGTTGTTATTTTGTTTGTACTCTACTTTGAGTCTGACCAAACTGCGGGAGGCAGTGGAAGACAGGAGTGCCTGGCATGCTCTGGTCCATGGGGTCACGAAGAGTGGGACACGACTAAACGACTAAACAACAACAACAACAACACTCTACTTTGAGCCCTTGTCAGGGAAAAAGGCAGGGTATAAAAAAGATAGAATAATAATAATAATAATAATAATAATAATAATATGATGTTGGTTGACATCTGTCTGTCTCGGGAGACAATGGAGGGGTGTGCCTTTGGGGGGTGAAGTCAAGCTGTTGGAAGGTTACAGCGCCTGCTGTGGCTGTAGAGACTGATGCAGGAGAGACATGTTTTGTTGCAGCTGGGGCAGATGAAGGTGGTCTGGTTGTGTTACAGCCAATGCACCATGGCGTTTCTTCTCTCTGTGCTCATCCCAGCTGTCATTCCTCCTCTGGTCACTGCTATGGATTTAATAATAATAATAATAATAATAGGATTCCTTTGAGCATTCGAAAGCACTATACAAGTGCTAAGAAAGCTAAAGTATTATCCTGATTTGAGGCAACTTTGAAATGTCTATTTCTACTTCTGAGCTTTTGAATGGTGAGAGGGCTAAATATTGAGTAGGCGAAGGGCTGTAGCTTAGTGGTAGAGCAAATGCTTTGCTTGCAAAAAGGTTCCAAGTTCAGTCCCTGGCCCGTGGTGGACTTAGGGCTCTCAAATTCCAGTGATGCCCTATGCAGTGCTAAAATTCAGCAACCCCACCTCTTGTGCTCCATTCTAAAGCATTGTTTTGGCACCCTCTGCTGTGTGGTGCCCAGTGAGAATGCACCAGTTGTGCCACCCTAAAACTGCCTCTGCCCTGGTATTGTCAGGCTGGGCTAGGGGAGACTCCTGCCTGCCTGAAACAAAAAAGAAAATAAACATTATGTTACTTATCTACTTATTTTGCTACTACTTTGTTTGCACCGGACTTCCTTCCACCTCTTACTTGGGTCCATGAAATTCTATGGTATATGCCTTTCCAATTGTATCTAATATTCTACAGTGGTACCTTGGGTTAAGAACTTAATTCGTTCTGGAGGTCTGTTCTTAATCTGAAACTGTTCTTAACCTGAGGTACCAATTTAGCTAATGGGGCCTCTCACTGCTGCCGCCGTGCTGCTGCTGCACAATTTCTGTTCTCATCCTGAAGCAAAGTTCTTAACCCGAGGTACTATTTCTGGGTTAACAGAGTCTGTAACCTGAAGCATCTGTAACCTGAAGCGTCTGTAACCCGAGGTACCACTGTATTTGCCATATTTTCTACTGTTTATACTATTAGTTGTCTTTACAAGAGTCATACCTGCCTGAAACTTCAGATGACCCCTGCAAGTCAGCTTGGTGGACCAATGGTCTTACTGAGTACAAGTCAGCTTCCTATATTTTCGTGTGTTTCAAAAGGAAGGTTCTGTATTTTCCAGGGACACTTCCTCTGTTATTGGCCTAGGTCAGGCATTCCCAAACTCAGCCCTCCAGATGTTTTGGGACTACAACTCCCATCATCCCTAGCTAACAGGACCTGTGGTCAGGGATGATGGGAATTGTAGTCCCAAAACATCTGGAGTGCCGAGTTGGGGGTGCCTGGTCTAGGTGCTCCAGTGTCAAAGCATGAGCGATCTGGAAACCGCCATTGAGATACTGGCTCACATTTGAAAAAATGTTCTCTGAGGAGCCCTACAGATGTCCCTTTTATTGAGCATCCGTGATGATTTGTGTTCCTGATGGCATTGGGGCAGTTCTATGTGATGCCACTTTCAAGACCATTTGCACCTGCAAAGGTTTGGGGGTGGCTATACTGCTTCGTTTCCAATCGGCGCATTTCTTGCAACTTTCCTGAAATCCCACAATTTTTAATTCAGGGTGTCGTTGTTTTTCGTTCCTTTTGTTGCGCTATAGGTTCCCTTGGGCAACAATAATGTGGAGGCACTGGGAACGCACCGCAGGACAGCTAATAAAGCAGAACAAATCCACCAGGAATGCCCCATTATTATGTCAAGAGCGTGGTGCAAAATGCACCCATAGTAAAACACCAGTTCGGGAAAGGGCCCTGAGTAAGACTGCTAAGTTAGGTGTGACTGTGGAAGGGAGGGGCAAGGCCGGATTTAGGTTTGATCAGGCCCTAAGCTACTGAAGGGACACGGGTGGCACTGTGGGTTAAACCACAGAGCCTAGGACTTGCCGATCAGAAGGTCGGCGGTTCGAATCCCCGTGACGGGGTGAGCTCCCGTTGCTCGGTCCCTGCTCCTGCTAACCCAGCAGTTCGAAAGCACGCCAGTGCAAGTAGATAAATAGGTACTGCTCTGGAGGGAAGGTAAACAGTGTTTCCTTGTGCTGCTCTGGTTCGCCAGAAGCGGCTTAGTCATGCTGGCCACATGACCTGGAAGCTATATGCTGGCTCCCTCGGCCAATAAAGCGAGATGAGCGCCGCAACCCCACAGTCGGCCACGACTGGACCTAATGGTCAGGGGTCCCTTTACTTTTACCTTTAAGCTACTGAAGGTAATGGGGCCCTTCATATGTCCAGCTGTCCTTTGTCAACAACAAATTGTCGCTGTTTTTTGTGTACCTTTGTATATAGAAATGAGCAAACCAGTGATATTTTAGGGAGCAGGCTAGCAGGCGGGGCCCATTACTTACATCATAGGAGTCTACACAACACAAAGCACTGTTGTTGTATGTAGGTTTTATTTTATTTGTTTTTTATATTATACAGTGGTACCTCAGGTTACATACGCTTTAGGTTACATACACTTCAGGTTACAGACTCCACTAACCCAGAAATATTACCTCGGGTTAAGAACTTTGCTTCAGAAATCGTGCAGCGGCAGCGCAGCGGCAGCAGGAGGCCCCATTAGCTAAAGTGGTGCTTCAGGTTAAGAACAGTTTCAGGTTAAGAACAGACCTCCGGAACGAATTAAGTACATAACCAGAGGTACCACTGTATTGTGGAAATGTACATCTAGTTTTTTTCCCTTTAAATTTTTTGGGGGCCTCAAGAGAGTGGGTGGGGCCCTAAGCTATAGCTTGTTTAGCTTATACGTAAATCTGGCACTGGGGAGGGGCAAAGCCAGGGGAAAGGGGAGGGGACCAGATAGTGGTGCCATTAGCTAATTTTAGACTCTGTGCTCAGTTGTCTTGTGAGGGTGTCTCAATAGGTGGTAATGTGTATGACTTCACTTGCTTTAAGATGTGATAAGCCAGGCCTTCTGCACATTCTTTGTTGTGGAGCCTGAAACTTCTGCCCCAAAGTCCTGCCCGGACAGCACTACACTCTGACAGGGGGTCAGGGAATGGGCCCTGAACAGCCGGAGCAAAATGAAACCGGGGTGGGGGGGGGAGAGAGAGAGAGCAAGTGCTTGCAAAAGTGCAAGAATACAGGTTTCAGAATTGCCATGCACAGAATTTGAGTGAACAATTATCTCCGCTTGTTTGTTTTTTAAAAAGGACCGAGCATACAGCTTCCTGCTGGCACATGTGTCTAGTGGCACAGAGTCAAGCCACATACTAGGAGATCTGCATAACAAGCCTGTAAAAGCAACCTGAGTTGTTGATTTTTTTTCAAGCAGCTGCAATGTGGAGGCATTTGAGGGCAGCCCCATCATCACAAGAATTGGCCCCTGAGCCGTTTAAGGCTTTATAGGTCAAAGCAGCACTTTGAAACTGATTGGCAGCCAATGCAGTTGGACCAAGATTGCCAATATATATTAGTTCATTCACATCATCAGGCAAAAGGTGACTCCTTTCAGAATATAAGAATTATTATTATTATTATTATTATTATTATTTAAGTACCAAGAACTAACCTTGTACTGTTTGGAAGTAGCCTGCAGTGTTTGTTCCAGGAAACACAACACCAAGCTGGTCAGTGTAAGAACTATTACTTAACTTTTAAGGGTTAGCAGTGGAGTTTGCTTTTTTCCTCTGCCGCCCCTGTCCCTTTTTCCTTTTGTGCTGTGTCTTTTAGATTGTAAGCCTACGGGCAGGCACTGTCTTATTGTAAGCCACTCTGGGAGTCTTTCTTTCTTTCTTTGGCTGAAGAACAGGGGCACATACGCTCTAAATGACTAAATAAAGGTTGGGTCAAAAGGTAAGGTTTCCAATTAGAAAACGGCATTCCATGGACGCGGAAGGAACCGCACCTCTCCCCAAGGGGGTGACTGCTCACAGGACATATTCGCCTCCAGAGACTAGAAAATGGAAGGGTCAGATGCCACAACGAAAGCCTCTGACAGGTTAAACTCTGTTCCGAGAACTGGAGAGGAGAAATAACAAATCCGTGCATAGGAGCCAACTTCTTGAAGTCGAGGTCCCTTCGCTGCCGCCCGTAAAATATTTGAGGGGGCTTACCTGCCCCCCCCATTTTATTCAACTTTGCACCCCTGAATCCTCGGGTTTGGCTGTTCACTCTCCTCTTTTCCTGCCTCCCCACTATTACAACTTTTGTCCTGGCGCCACAGCAGCCAAGGGGAAGTTCCGTGGTCCACCACGTGCAGCGAAACTTTGGAGCTGGCGCGCCTTGCGCGAAGGACGCGCAGCGCGCTCGGCGGATGCCGGCTCTAAAGCTGCCCTCCTTTGCGCTCCACGTGGCGACGAGCCGCTTGCTCGCTTCTCCTCGGTCTCCGGCTGGAGCGGGGTGGGCGAGGGGGCAGCCCCGAGGAGGCGGTCCCTTGAAGGAGGAGGAGGAGGAGGTCACGGCCGCGGCTCCCTCTCCTGGCTCTCTGGATGCGCCGATGGAGCGGGAGGTGGGAGTCGGTCGGGCTGGCGGACGGCGAGCCCCGTGCTCCCTGCCGCCGCCCCTAGGTAAGAGCCCTGCCTCCTTCGCCCTCCTCCCTCCCCCGGGATAAAGCGGCGGCGCGGGCGCCGCGGCCGGTCTCTCCCAAGCCGGTACGGTCGGGTTATTATGGCAGCGCTTGGAGCCCTAGTGAAGAAAGTGTGGAGTATCCGCCGCTACCTGGTGCTGCTCTGCACCCCGCTGGTGCTGCTGCCTGTCCTCTTCAGCCTGCCCCCCAAGGTAACCCTTTGCCCCCACCCCGCCCCCCGTAAAAGCCACCCTGCAAGGGGGCTTCCTCCTCCTCCTCTCCGCCCCCACTTCCTTCTTTGCCCTAGTCAAAAGTGGCTGTACCCCCACTCCTGCTTCTAGTGTAGCCACCAGCCCATTTCATCTTGCTCTGCCCCGCTTTCTGCAAGGAGCCTTTCTTTCCTTTCAACAGCTGTGCAGCAGGCACAGCTTCAACAGGCGGTGAGTTCCCTGTTGCTTCACCTGTTGACTTTCTGTCTGTTGACATTGTCACACAGTCGTTTTAAGGCGGAGGTGACTTATCATGAAGAGGGGGGACAGCATTGTGTCACCCACTATCCTTAGCACCACCTGAGTCTCCAACTCAATTAATACCCCCTCCCTTTCTTAGCCCCTTCTCCCATCAAGAACCCTCCCCATCTTCTGTTTTTGGAAAGGCTGCACTCCCCTTTAGAAAACCAGTTTCCTGCAAAAAGTACTCAGATAATTCCTTCATTCAGCAACAGTCATCAGACTATTGGGAATAGCTCCTTGCCCTCTGCCCTAACTCCTTGTACCTCCCTAATCCCTGTCAAGATAATACTACGATTTCTGCTCTCGCGATTCTCTGCTTCCCTAATATCTATCCTGCCAACCCAAGTAACTTCCAGCAGCAGCTCTTTGCACTCCCCAATATTCCCATCATATATTTCACAAGAGCAATTCCTTGCCTTCTGCTCCCTGCACTTTGACTACTTGTAGGGAACTGTGGCTCCTAATGAAACTCAAGTTAAGGAAGAGCATAAGAAGCTGCCTTAGACCAAGTCAAACCCACTGGTCCATCTAGCTCAATATGAATGGCAGTGGCTCTCCAAGGTTTCAGATAGGGAACCTCTCCCATCCCTACCTGGTGATGCTGGGGATTGAACCCAGCACCTTCTGCATTCAAGGCAGATGCTCTACCACTGACCTACAGCCCGTCCTCCAAAGGTTGCCACACTGATGGTTGTTCTGGTCCATCATCTCTTTGTCATCTCCTACTTAACGTTGCTTCCAACCAAGGAACCACATGCTCATTGTCCTTAAGGGAACTCAGGTTACCTCCAGACTGTTACTATTTTGGGGGTGGGTGAGATTGAAGCTCCTATCAGAAATGTATGTGTGTGCAATTAAAGTGGATTAAACTGCTCTGCTGACTGCATGCAACAAACCCACCTTTTTTATTTAAAAAATTGGACTTTTTGCTATTGAGAAAGTGGTGGGGGAAAGTGTGGGATGGCCGAATGATTAATGGGAAGACGCATAAACATTGCACAAGCAAGCCTGAATGAATGCTTACTGTGTAACTTCCCCTCAAATTGGGATGAATGCTTGAGAATGACCAGAGACAGTCTAACCTCTGCTTAAGCTTTGTGGAAGTAAATTGGGAGGAATGATCAATAAATATAAAACTCAGTACATAACAGGTTGTCTGCAGGAGACAATGAACTAAACCCAAACCCCTTTCTCAGTTTTGGAGAGTATTTCTCCAAGAAATCAGCTGGTCTGCTGTCCGTAGAAAAATCCATCCCTGTCCCACCCAAGTCTCTACCCCTTCCCTTTACCTTATCAATAACCTTTTCCTACTTGCCCCCTTTAAGGAATATCCGCTCCTCCAAACAAAATGACCATGCCCTTAAAAAATCCCCTTTCGATTTACCCTGTTGCCACTTTGTAACCCTAGGACCAACTCCCCAGATTAACATCATGTCACTTTTAAATGTCACCCTGACCATATACTGCTCAAGTGATCCACTGCTTCCCCCAAAGCCAATCTTTCTCCCCTGCCCCAACTAAATAGTTGCCTCATCTTAAACTTTTTTTAGAAGTCTCTTATTATCACAGACTTTTGAGTCTAGAATACGGCATCAGCATCCAATTTAGGGAAGTGCAGACAGTTCCCCAGCACAGGGCGCCCAGCCGAGGGGGTGCAAAATTGAGAAGATCCGGCATGGAGAAGATCCATTGAGGGTTGTCAGATTTTGGCCTCGCTCAGGGCACCATACTACCAAAGATTACCAAAGTCCACCCTTGTAATTACTGTCATTACAAAGTCCCCGCAATTACTGTCGCAGTGCGTTTTTTGATGGTAACATGATCCATCTGTCATTATCCGGAGTAGACAACAGGGTTCGCCTCCAGATGTTGCTGGCCTAGAACTCCCACTATTCCTAACCACTGGGCATGTTGGATGAGAATTGGAGCCCAACAACATGGGGTCCCCATCTCTGCCGCAGGAAAGTAACACCTAGCCCAGGTTACTGGAGAATACTCCATTCTGTAACAGAAAATCCTCACAAAGCATATTTAGCTTACTTTGCTTCAAGAGCTGCCCTTTGTTCATTGTCACCCATGTCACAGGGAAATAATTCCCTGGAGAAACTCCTAGGCCTTGTCCACTGCTGCCCCATTGAATGCCCTTTCCAGGCAGTTTTTCTTCTTGCAGTTCTCCAAGCTACACAGATCAATAAAAGGCATCACATTACTCATTCTTTGCTCCTGTTTCTCGGTCCTGCTTCCAAAATGCTTCCCCTCACAGCTTATACAGAAGGTGCTCTTTCACAGATGCTTCAGAGGGCCTGATCAACAAAGGATGAACAGTGCAACCTTATGCATGTTTACTTGGAAGGAGGTTGCACTGTGAGGTTTACACCTAGGCAAGTGTGCAGCCTGAGAATCATGTGTCTTCTTTGGAGTGGAGATACATAAGGCAAGGCTGATGGGCAACTTTCTAAGCAATTCCCTGCTGCAGGGGGACTTTAATTACAGACATATGATTTAAGCTGTTTGTGCAACGCCTGTAAATGGTTTGTATTAATGTAGTAGTATGGAAACCATAACTTTAATAAAGAATAAATTGAGGTGGGTGTGGGGAATGGTGCAGATTTTTCCTCATATGCTTAGAATGGTCCACCTCCCCTTTCTCTCCTTGCCAAGTTTGGACTGGGGCTTTCAGGGCTGCATTCATTGGCATGGAAGGGATCTGCAACTGGGACACACAGTTCTCATTCTCCAGCGGTACATGCCTTTTCTTTCTGGTCTCGTCCACGGCTTCTGCCCCTAAAGCTTAAATCTCTGCCAGATTATTGTCTGTTTCACTCTTGGACAGTCTATGCTGCTGTGCATGGATTTCACCACCTCTGTTTTCCAAGCTATTATGCGTCTCCCACAGTGCCTTTATTTGCATCTTTGCCATTCCTGAAGACATACAGGACTGTTATTCCATATTGATACCGCTCTCAGCTGCATCCCCACCCATCAAACAGGGCAAGCTATCATGGAAAATTCCCCCCTCCGCATCAAGAATTGAATAGGTTCTCTCAGCTCACAGCTTAAACCAGGAGCTCTCTGCTTCATCCCTCCCCACCAACCTCCAGACGTCGCTCTGGTTTGTTCGGCAGAGCCCTACAGATTCACTGGAAATGATTACACTATCATCCAGGTCACATGGGAAATGGGAAGATGACATTTCTGAGACAACTGTTATGTGAAGCTTTTGGCAGCATTGTTTTCCTGACAGATTTTCTCTAACTTGACACAAATCTGTCAAACCAAAATGGGTCGAAAATAAGCAAAGGGACATATATGTATATGATTTGGCCCATCATATTGCACTGTCTTTCAAGCTCCTTCCACCACTTCCCAAAGCTAGGAAAAGTTGGGGCAGGTCAGACTTAGCTAGGATTTGAACCTGGCCCATCTGCCTTTAAGCCCCATGTTGGATCCAGTGCATGGCATCTTTGCCAGTCTATGAAACCGGTTTACCACATAGGTTTACTATTGGGAGGAGTGATTCCAGACAAGAGTTTTAATGTTGCAAACAAGCCTTTCAAATATTGCAAACAGGTCATTGGTAACAGGTGTCCCCCGCCCCCTTAAAATTCATTGGTTTTTCAGCAGGAAGAGTAAATGCAGATTAAATGGAGGTGGAAAATGCATATTGGTGTTGATGCTGTCATGTGCAGGCTGTAAAAACCTTGCATGCATGAGTAACACTGATCCCACAATAAACACCTGTCTGGAAATACCCATAGTTGCTCAAAGTATATTCTGTTCTTAAGGACTAAGCTACACATGATGTTGAATGCATATTTGCTTCTAAAATGTGTGTGTGTGTGTGTGTGTGTGTGTGTGTGTGTGTGTGTGTGTTTTAAGGCAATCAGCTTGAGGGTGGAGGACAGGAAAAGCTGTTAATTTATGGGATCAGAGCAGGCATGGAGAGCAAATGCAACTCTTTTCTACCTTAGTAGATTGGCACTAATGGGGGATTTCCCCCAAAGGAAATACCAGCTTCAGAAGAGTGATTTTCGCAAGGGAGGAAATGATAAAATCCCCCCTGCAACCCACTCCCCCATCCCAGCTGATGCAATATGCATGTTCCAAAAAGTACATATTAGATGCAAACACATCTGTTTAACAGCGCTTGCCATTAGCTTAACCAGAAAGGGGCTGTTGGAAGGGGAATGTCCTAGGAGGGCTGTTCTCACCTCTGGACTTTGTTCAACCTCTTTGGTTGTGGATTTGTTAACTTTCTAGCTTCGTTGTAAAGAATATGGGCATTTGAAAAAAATAAATAAATTAGTACGTGTTTGTTTCTTGAGTATATTGCTTGGACACATTTCCCTATCAAAGCCCTTTTAGCCAAAAAGAGATGTTAGGTCCAATGCATTTCTCTGCAACCACTTTCCCAGGATGCTGTGATTCCTATGAGTGTTTCATCAGTGTACATGGCTCTTTACAAATCAACGTTGGCAAAAGTCCCTGTCCCACGGAGCTTACAGTCTGTGTTAGGACTGGCCCAACTGCAGAGGCAAGCAGGGTGCTGGAGTTAAAAAGATGCTTGCCCCAGTGCTGTGAATGGCTCAGAAAGAAAGCTGCGGTCTGGTTTTAGCGTATGTTCACATTACAACCAGTGGCGTAGTGTGGGGGGTGCAGGGGGGGCCGGCCGCACCGGGCGCAACATCTGGGGGTTATGGTTAGGGGGCGCAAATTACTTGCCTTGCCCCGGGTGCTGACAACCCACGCTACGCCACTGATTACAACATACTCTGCATCTAGTAGGCTCCCACTGTTAGTTTTGAAACTGAATTCGCATACCGTTAGCCTATCCATATTGATCCTGTAGTTTCTTGACAAAAATGGCTACTTAATGCATTTATTATTATTATTACTACTACTATTATTATTATTATTTTGCAAACCAGCTTCAATCCAACTAGAAAACTAGAAGCAGAGTAAAGGGTAGGTTCACATTACCACAACAGGCACTGAGCATGTGCAGGTGAGTGCACATGCGCACATGACAGCTTAATGAATTAGGACTTCACGGGGAATGTCACAGGGACAGGGAAACCAAAAATGTCTTGCAGGTTGGGTGAAGACACCCCCACCAACTCCCTTTAACGTGAACAGCACAGTGAAAATGTGGCTTGAAACGCAGCGGGTGGTGGTGATGAACGACCTTGCTGTGTTTTAACCTGCTGAGATGAATGTACTCTTAGACAACAAGATGCACAGTGGCAGCTTAGCAGCTTGATGGATGGGCAATATTCCATGCATTCCAGAAGAGGTAAGAGAGAACCTTCCGCTCTCTGCCAGCTGTCCAGAGCATGGGCAGATTTGCAAATGGGAGAAAGCAATCCATCAGTCAATAAATTTGAAGAACTAGAATAATAATAATAATAATAATAATAATAATAATTTATTTGTACCCCGACCATCTGGCTGGGTTTCCCCAGCCACTCTGGGTGGCTTCCACAAAGATTAAAAATACATTAAAATGTCACACATTAAAAACTTCCCTGAACCTTCAGATGTCTTCTGAGTGTCTTGTTTATCTCTTTGACATCTAATAGGAGGGCGTTCCACAGGGCGGGTGCCACTACCGAGAAGGCCCTCTGCCTGGTTCCCTGTAGCTTTGCTTCTCGCAATGAGGGAC